TTATGGGAAAAGTAAATTCTACTGAACTGGTGTAAAACAAAGTGGATTTTTTCATTGAAATCAGAAATAAACTGATTGAAATATTGTGAAATATTATCCAAATTTATGACATCAGAAATTGCCTGAATCACCCCTGTCCCTACCTGGCCAGTCTTAATTGCTTGTCAGCCAGGACGACGACAGGAACGGATCTCATCTCGTCGCTGTCGATGACGTTCTTCAGTTCCTCCGGACAATGTCCGTTCTCACAACAATTTTCAGATCGAATCACACTTAAATATTGAAAAAGGTATATTTGTAATAACATGACATAACATCATGTACTGATATATATTTTTTTAAACAAACATCAACGAATGAACGAAGAAAGGGATAGATAATACTTTGCTGAAATTTATCATGTAAAATTTCATTGAAACTTAATAACACGTCAATAAATTTGTCAAAACAAAAACTGCAATTTATACACAGATATTAATAACATACCGGCAGAATTTTGGCAGGGTCTATGGGAAACCCGGGGAAGAGACATGTAAAGCCAGCCAGCTTATCCAAGATAACACCCATCATTTGAGCAGCTTGGACACGGTTGTAGTGTAACAAACTGTATAAAATTCTAATGCCTCCTCTCTTGTGTTTTCCTTTTCCACTTCGAATAATCTCCAGTTATAATGACCAGTGCTACCTAACGTTTGACGGATTTCGATATTGACAAACCATTGCCGATCTTACATACGTCACATATAGTACGCCGAGCGGTTTATCCAACACTAACTCTGCCGTGTTAATATCTGAACACGTGGAGTGCTATAAATAGCTCACTGCGGCGATGTGGATCTCAACAGGTTGGAGATAATGACGCCAAGCGGATTTACTGCAAGAAGCTGACCACGTGATTGGTGTATACACAAAACAATATACTCTGATTGCTCTCTGTCAGTGAATCGGTCGATAAATGTGGTGTAAAATTAGATATTCTCTTAAACAAAGTCAGGAATTATGTAATAGAAATGCTAAAACCAAGTACTCGATTCAGCGTGTTTTGGTGCGTGTCGTTTGTGTACACGATGCAGTAAACAAGAAAACGGGTAGGTTAGCGGTACAAATTCTGAGCAAGGATTTTGGCTCGGAATCGATATTTTGATCTTTCTAAGACCCAAGCTCCCCAAGTACGGCTTCGATTTAAGTGAGCTATGTCTCAATTCGTAGGTAAATCTATTGGTTTGAAATACGTAACTATATATTCTGAGTCAAAATAGAAACTTCACAATTTATGTTTGTAAATACAAATATGAATTGTTATAGTAGACAGTTTTCTGGTGTCATAATATTAATCCCCAACTATCGACTCAAGAAAAAAGTCACTACAGCACATTGAAATCAATCCAAACATGGTGCACCCCAACAATAGAGCTAAAACGTGTTTTAATGTGCCACTGGTCACGTGATCTTATTGCACGTGCATTCGATCGTACATGTTCCCCATCAACAGTACAAAGTGAAAAAAACACACTTTAAAGCACTAACATAAAACAGCTAATCTTAATGCCGCGCCTCTCAAATGTGCAGCGTGAACGTGCCGTTGGCATGCTGGATGCGGGAACGTCAGTAAGTGACGTTGCAAGGACAATGGGGTGTAGCCGTCGGACTGTTTATGATTTACAGACTCGACTGCAACAAACTTGAACCACTCATCGCCTCAGGCCAGGCCGGCCACGTATGACGTCACAGGCGGAGGACCGTCAAACTGTGTCACGTGACCTCCGTAACCGTTTTTTGACTGCTACAGGAACCAGAAATGAGCTGTTTAGGGGTCCACTGTCGGCACAAACCATCCGAAACCGGCTGCGAGCTGCACACCTTCGTGTTTGACGACCACATCGCGGATTCATTTTTACGCCATGACATTGACGTCAGTGTTTGCTGTGAGCCCGACGACACCTCCGATGGGCTCACAGAAACTGGAATCGAGTTGCCTTCAGTGATGAATCAAGATTTACCCTCAGATTCGCTGATGGTAGGATGAGAGTGTTGAGGCGACGCCGTGAACGTTATGCTCAGTGTTGTGTACAGGAAGTTGACAGATTTGGGGTCAGAAGTATCATGGTTTGGGGTACTTTCTGTGGGATTGCCCGTTCCCGACTTCTGGTTATCCGTGGGAACCTTAATGCTGCAGGTAACCGCGACCAGGTGCTAACCCCTCGAATTTATTCCAGTCATGGCAGCACATGGTCAAGGTCTGCACTTTCAACATTACAATATGCCAGACCCCAGACCCCATACAGCCAACTTGACCACGAATTACCTGCAGAACGCAGGAATCAATGTTCTTGACTGGCCGTCAAGGCCACCTGATCTCAATCCAATCGATCACATCTGGGATGCTCTTGGTAGAGGTCTGCACACTCTGCACACTCTCGGGAACCAACCCCAGAATTTGCAGGATCTTGGTGCTGCTTTGCAGAAACAATGGCGCCGACTCCCCAATAATGTGTTTACACACAATAGACTGTCCATGAGGAGGCGTTGCTTGGCAGTTGTGAACACACAGGATGGCCATACACGCTACTGAATGTTTGAAACATCAGATTTAATTTCTTGTGAGTTGATACTTTGTTTACGCCTTTTATTGATAAATTGTGTAACCATATGGAACCGATTTTTGATATTCTCAGTTCATCCTATCGACCTTAACAAGTAAATGATAACCTCTATACCACATTCTTGTGTCCTTTCTTTTATATATACTCTCCCAAAAAGGAAACGCATCATGAAAATAGCAATTCGGTCAGGGCAGTGTTATGATGTGGGGAGCGATCACCTGCCATAGAAGAAGTGATTTAGTGATGATCCAGGGCAACCTGACAGATCAACGGTACTGTGACGAAATCCTACGCCCACACCTCCTTCCAATCATTGATCGCCAGAGGAAGTTGATTCAACAGGACAATGCCAGGCCCCACACAGTACGTCACACTAGAGACTTCCTCCAGAACCACAACATCAATGTGCTGCCTGGGCCCTCAAGATCACCGGACTTAAACCCGATGTAACATCTGTGGGATGCCCTGGACAGACGGGTTCGACGCCGTAACCCTCAGCCCCAGACACTTCAGCAACTCACACAGGCACCACAGGCAGAGTGGGCTGCGATTGGGCAACACGAGATTCTGAGACTTATTCGTTCGATGCCGAGGCGATGCCGTGCAGTTCTGGATGCCCACGGTGGTCACACGAGGTATTGACTTCAGCGCCACCACACATCTCCATGTGACACTCAAACTGACTTTCCTCGAGTTGGTGCCAAAGACGGATAAGTATGCATTCCTAGTGTGCAATTTCGCTATACTTCATTGACTCATAAAGCCTATAAGATGTTTCAAAATAGACATAAAAATACAATTGAAATTCCCATATGCGTTTCTGTTTTGGGAGAGTATATTATTTATTATACGATTGTGAAGTTTCTAGTTTGACTATATAGACTGTAAGACTTTATGACTTTATAGGGGTATATACAATGATAATTGTGGAATTCGTCCTGAAACGAACTTTATGTGTTGACCTCGTTACACTCCTTTCCTTGTATATAGAGCTAAGACCCATCAGTCACAGTCTATACCTTGATGCCAGTTTCTTTGGCGTTACGGTTCCCTGTAGTACCGTACACATATCTAAACTGGTGCATCATCGGCTTCAGGGATCCAGATTAGCCTCCATTATGTTGGCGTGACGTCTTTGGCAACGTCGAAGAAACGCCAAGCCAATGTCAACGAATATTGCGTGGATCGGGGACATCTCTATGACTGTAAACCTCACTCCATGTTGTGTGAAGGTCACTGAACAGTACATCAAGGACAACACACTGACACACTATGTCGTCACGTATGTCGACGTTTTGTCTTCCAGGATGATGTCTTATCATCAACACATATAGGAACTGCCTGCTGACCCAGTGACCCGGATTCACTTGCAATAGATCGTTGCGCCATATCATCACTTGTTTCAGGTTGTGCACAATCGGAATTGGATTCTCTACAACATGTATTTGCTTCACTGTTCTCAGTAATCTCCATCTCCCAGCATGTGGAATTATTTAAGGAAACGTCACATTGTGTGTATCATAACTATCTATGAGTATACGTTGTGTTTCCCTTAATCAGTTCGATCAAAGTTTTGCGATTTTGGTCAATGCACGCAGCTTACCTTATCAACGTCTCTTGACATAATACACATGCAACGAAGATTCATATAGCCTTTGGACACGTCAAGGCATCATGTGTAGGTTTTTGAGATCCATATATATGTAAGTGGTAAGACAAAACACAAAACTAATGTGGTGTGGGTAAGGACACCTACAGTGTTGTTGCATGACAAGGAAATAGAAGTAATGAAATGAAACGAAGACTAATTGCATATTAACACATTTGATAACTGTCACTATACCTTCTAAACATTTGATTCTTTTTTCTATCTTAACTATCCAAGTCCTGTAGGTCAAAAGGATACTAATGCAATATGAATGGTCGCTATATTACATATGCCCTGAGTGGCAAGGGGCTTGCTACTTTGGAAGGAAATAATAAAATTTGAAACGCCCGTTCTGTTGGAATGACAGAATAAGACGCAGTAATTCTTCAGGGCCGGGAAGAATGCGTACAATAGCGACTGCTGCATTGAACCCATGAGTCCATCAAAGGAACCTCGGTTGGACTTCTATTAAACGGATATGGGAAACAATCTGGAAGGATATGTTCATCAAATAGATAGTTTTGGGTGTAATGAGATAATAAATGTGATATTAATTTTAAAACGTTTTAACGTCCACCACTGATGAGTTCAAGATGCAAGATCCGATGATTAAAAGGAGGAACGAGTAAATATTGTTGTACGCCGCAACTGTCCGAAATGTGCATCCGGGGATCGATGCTCAGCATTGCACAATGTGGTTAAGTAACGTTTCTGTGTCTTGATGTCCTTTGTGGACAAATAACTTTGTGAAAAAAAAATTAAACTTTTATTGCAACAACAATACAATTACATATTTAAGTACAAAACAACGGGTAAATAAAACATGAACGTTTACACACGTATTGAAAACACAAACACCATACAACGTGTTCAGATAAAAGACAAACCAAGGAATGTTGGAATCATATGAGTATTTACACGATGAATTATATAACAAACTACTACATACGTATAACAGTAACGAAAGACTGAGAGCGCTACAGATCTCGAGTCATCACGTGACAACATGGTAAGGATCGGTAACCATGGAGACGGACTGGGCATAAGATTGAATCAGTAACATCGAGATGGGAGTCTTTGTTCTGATGGCAACGTGTCGCAACAGCGGGGTCCTCCTTTTGGCTTCCTCCACCACAATACAGACTTGACAAACCTTGTCAGTGTCGTGTTACAGCATTCCAACTTGCATATCATGTATTGAACAAACAAACACGTGATTAAATATTTTTGTGGGAGGTCACATCAGTCCATTCAGGTTTCAACACAGATACCCTTCAGTTGGTCATCCCTGAGCTTGTGGACATTATCACAGATATAAGTTTGTGGTTATTTATGTCTGTAAATCTTCACCGCCTCTTGCTCTGTTTAAATTCTTTCACCAGTCGGGACATTTCCTCCAGACCCTCAAACAGACCCTGCCCGGTCGTAGCACATGTCCCCTGGATGTACCACTTCCGGTCCGTCATCTTCTGAAGGTGAAGGGCTACGACTACTTCCGACAACTTGGCGGCAGCTTGAGGAAACAATGTTGAGATTCAGCATCAATATGATTGTTTTATCAATAACGGCGTTAGTTTCAAGACTGTACTTCCCACACATTGACGTTAAACCAAAACAATAACAAAAAACTTAAGACATAAGATGACTAGAAATATTATGGATAATAACAAGTTCATTCAGAGATAATGTTTCACCCTGCATCAAGTAACTGAAACAGTTTTCTCGTCATATGTATATCAAACTTCTAAATGCCTACAAAGCCCCCCATGATCACCATTCCCATCATAACTACCATTATAACTACCATTATAACTACCATCATAACTACCATCATAACTACCATCATAACTACCATCTTAACTACCATCATAACTACCATCTTAACTACCATCATAACTACCATCATAACTACCATCATAACTACCATCTTAACTACCATCATAGCTACCATCATAACTACCTTCATAACTACCATCATAACTACCATCTGAACTACCATCATAACATCATAACTACCATCATAACTACCATCATAACTACCATCATAACTACCATCATAACTTCCTTCATAACTACCATCATATCTACCTTCATAACTACCTTCATAACTACCATCATAACTACCTTCATAACTACCATCATAACTACCACCATAACTACCATCATAACTACCATCATAACTACCATCATAACTACCATCATAACTACCATCATAACTACCATCATAACTACCATCATAACTACCATCATAACTACCATTATAACTACCATCTTAACTACCATCATAACTACCATCATAACTACCATCATAACTACCATCATAACTACCTTCATAACTACCATCATAACTACCATCTTAACTACCATCATAACTACCATCATAACTACCATCATAACTACCATCATAACTACCTTCATAACTACCATCATAACTACCATCTTAACTACCATCATAACTACCATCATAACTACCATCGTAACTACCATCATAACTACCTTCATAACTACCATCATAACTACCATCTTAACTACCATCATAACTACCATCATAACTACCATCTTAACTACCATCATAACTACCATCATAACTACCATTATAACTACCATCATAACTACCATCATAACTACCATCTTAACTACCATCATAACTAACATCATAACTAACATCATAACTAACATAACTACCATCATAACAGCAGCAGTATCACCATCACATCAATATGAAAACCCCGCCCCTCAAAGCGTGTATATTGATAATCCAGGTTTGGATAGATTACGTTTCCCCCATGTCCCTACCTGGCAAGTCTTGCTTGTTGGCCAGGACGACCACAGGGACGGATCTCATCTCGTCGCTGTCGATGACGTTCTTCAGTTCTTCCCGTGACTCGACAAACCTCTCCCTGTCGTTGGTGTCTACCACGTACAAGATACCTGCAATATAACAAGATGATATTCAATTGACGCCGTAATGAGAGAAACGACCGAATCTTGAACACATATCTCCACCTGGAGGCGCACATATTTTACCAATAAATATTCCTATGTAAGAACATAGTATAAATTAGGGTTCTCGTACATTAACTCTATATTAACTTCACTGGCAAATCACCAGAAAGGCCTTGTTTGTCATTCATCAATACAAAACCAAACCTACTCCCAGCCCTTAAAATAAGAAAACGAAAATAACCAAACGAAACACCCTCCTAAAAACAAACAACAAATCTCACCGCTGCAGTTCTGGAAGTAGTGTCTCCACAGGGGTCTGATCTTATCCTGACCCCCCACATCCCACACGGTGAAGTTGACCCCCTTGCAGGGGCTGACGGTCTCCACGTTGAAGCCGATGGTGGGGATGGTGGAGACCACCTCGTTCAGCTTCAGCTTGTACAGGATCGTCGTTTTACCTACAACATACATCCATACATTCACTGTTACTACAATATATTGTACTGTGCGTTGGGCGTGAACAAAACTCTCTCTGTTCAATTTTACCAATGTAAATAGTAATAAATATTCGTTTATGTAACATCTCTCCGAACAAAACATTATACGCACATCTCTATTTGAAAAACATGAACATTTTTTTTCGTGAAACGTAAAATTTTGTTCAAATCAATTATGTAAATTTTCGAAATGTATCATGCAAAATTTCAATGAAATATCACATAGATCTATATAACCATAACAATTTGTGAAAGAAGCAATGCATAAAATATGAGTGAAATGCCAAGTTTATCATGTAAATTTTAAATGAAATATACCGTATTAACAAGTTGTTTAGAAGGTAGCTGCAAATACATATTCATAAACATACCGGCAGCATCGAGTCCAACCATCAGAATTCTTGCTGGGTCTTTGGAAAACCCGGAGAACAGGCCTGTAAAGTCAGCAAGTTTATCCAAGATAACACCCATGATTTGAGTAGCTCTGACACGAGAAGTCAATATTTAATATCTGAGACAGCGCAAGACCCGTAAATGTAGTCTTATGTTGTGTCTCGATCAGAGTTCGAATGATACAGTATTATTAAACCTGGTTTATATAGTGGACGAGATTCCAGCGTGGAGGGATATGTTTATGTTTCGGGTGGTGATGCAACATGGTTTCTACGTTGTCATATTCCACACGCACACCTGCTAACGAAGCTCCAAACACCTGGCGCGGAACACGCTGGAGAAAATGACGTCACGGGAAACCGGGTCATGTGACGGGGAATCCCCACTAAATGTAGCCGCCTGCGCTGAGGGTTACTGTTTTGATTTGCCGATGGAGGGGAAGTTGACTGTTTCCAATTGTCTGTGATGATGTGTGATTGGATTTGACGAACGTGATGCTGATTAGTGTTCCTACGGGCCAGAACGTAGCCCAGTCGTGTCAGTTTTTAGTTCACTCTGTCAATTCTGAAATGACCTTCACCTTGTAAATGATACCTTTCCACCATTCGTCACCACTCGCCCATTTCCGCAATCGCCGAGAGTGTCTCGTCTCCGATGTATATCATTAGCGAAAATACGCCAATCCTATAAGAATGAGTGAAAGGGTTTGAGGTAATTTAATAAGAATAATCCTGAGAACATTTAATCGGTTATGACAGTATGTGGTTGTTTAGAAAATAGGGGGAAATGTGTGTCGTCATTTTGACATTACAAATAACGATGTAACTATAGCAGAATTGTTTTGCATAATTTGGAGTTTTTAATATGGACAGCGCCATGAACAGTGAATCATTCAAATACACACTCGTGTGTTTGTTCACATTAATAACTGCTCCCGTGTTTCCACTCAGTGTTTTCTTCTGAGATTTTACCTGCGCTTACTGACATTATGCGTGTTGATCCATTTGGTTTCGAAAGTTTATTTTCATTTTCATGTCCATATTTATTAAGAGGTGATAACTATGTTTAAGCAATTGTGTTTGGGACTTTTTGCAGATGAAGTTATTTTTCTTATTACAATTGAACATTCAAGAAAAATATCCCATTTTGGTTTTTAACCCGTCTTAATGTGTGCATTATAGATATAAAGTAAACGGCTAATAAAAATCATATTTTATAAATGCATATTTCTAAAGACGGGTTAAAAATCGCAAATGGGATTATTTTCTTGAATATGCAGTTGCAATAAAAGTCATGTGAAAATGACGATACATTTTATATAAGTTTTCTAGACAATCATATTAAACCGATTAATGTAAGCGGGATTATTTTTATCAAAGTACCTCAACCCTTTATACGCATTCTGATTGGATCGTCGTATTTTCGCACATGATATCCATAGAGGGGATGTCGGAGGTTTCGGAAAATGGCTGTCGCCATACCCATCGCGCTGCGGAGCTATTTTTAGAACTCCACGTGACCAGAAATTGACAATTGTATATTTCGCCCACAAGCTTCCTGAATGTGACGTATGTAAGACACCATTGGTGTATGTGGTCATGATGACGACAGTCAAGCACACTGACTAGACTGGGGATAACAACTGGTATAAATTCAGAGCGGAAAGGGACGGCCGTGATACAACCTCGCACTTTCTGCCGAAGTGGATACATTTTGAGGACTAGTTATGGTGTTGAGGGACGTTTTGTGACATCGCTATGGGCTGGTCACTCTCACGGCTTATGAGGATCCACCATGAGTTTTCATCGGCGAAAGCTCGTATCCTGATGCTTGGGTTGGATGGGGCAGGTAGGTTCGGGGATGTTTGTTTGTTTGTGAATTTGTTTGTTGAAAGACGCACTAATAAAAATTCCAGCTATATGACGGCGTTCCTTGAATAATCGAGTCCCATCGCTGGACCCAGTTAACTTTAACTGTTGGTTGGTGAAGATCAATGCGTATAACCGGGATCTTCTGGAGGGATGGGGAGATATGATAACAATAATAATAATAATAATAATCACTTCCCACTCGTAATCGCCAAAATGTGATTCTTAAAGAAAATATCAATATGAAATATCGACTATGTAATGAATTTACAGAGACTGTCCAACATCTTGTCAGTGGATGCCCTTCTTCGGCACAAACAGCAAAAGAACATGATGGCATGGCTCTTTGCTGTTACTACTGTCTCCGCCATGTCTGTGGCTTTGACTCCGAGGTCTATCCATGGTACGACCCTGAACATGTCCAGGGCGTCATGGAAAATGATGCTTTCAAACTTCTGTGGAATATACAGCCATATACAGCCTCAGATAAAATTTTCCTGCCAAAAAACCTGAACTTGTCCTTTTTGATAAATGAATAAATAAATGAATTTATTTATGTCATTGAATGTTCTGTCCCTTTTGACAGGAATGTCATTGACAAGATTCAGGAAAAGCATGATAAATATGCGGACCTCGCCTTTGAAATGTCTCGCTTGCATCCCAAGTACACTGTCGTCAGGCTCCTTATTGTTCTCGATTCCCTTGGTTTGGTACCCCCTGATCTCTTGGCGCAGATCAGGAGAGTGCCTGGGTTGTCCAACAGGAGTACAGCCCTTCTGACACTCTGGGTAATGCAGAAGGCGGCAGTGTTGGGGAGCCTTCATATTCTCCGGAAAGTTCTTGGTGGGTTCGACTAGGCAGTGTTTCCTTGGCTGCGTGTAGAGGGGGCGACGGCCCTGAGCTGATGATGAGCCTTACCAGCCTGACTGTGCCAGGATCACCCGAACCCTCTCTGCTGCATTTTCCTCTTTAATCTGTAACATATAATAATATTTCATTATGTTTCACTCAGAGAATCAGTATTAAGCGTTCCTTATTTACTGATCAGTATAACCTGTTGTTGAAAACCTATAATACAAGACAGATCATATACCGTAAGAAGTCCTATGTTCTCATTCAAATAATGTTATGGTTTTATAAATTTCAAAAACTGTCTTTGATAATCAAAGATTCTCACGATTAAACGTGGTAGGTGAGGTGTGGTATATAAAGAAATACACAATGTTCACAACGTACGACAGATTTTCTTACTTATATCGCTTGAAGCCGATAGACTCACCATATACTGTTCACAGAAATTATTGAGAAAATGTTTGTTTCCTAATACTGATAATAAACTTATAAAATAGATGTTACATTATGTAGTAAGGTACTCATAATGGGGGGCAACTCTTGTTACTACATCAAGGGGGTGTGACTAATGCAAATGAGTTACCTAATAGACATGACATTCCTCCGTCTACAGTATACAGAACTTTAAAGAATATTCAGTCAGGAGTTAGCACTGAGCACAAGATAACGGCAGGGAGGCCAAAGAAGTTCAGTACTACGTCTAGCCGGGGAAAGTGAGCAGGGGAAAATTGAAACATATTGAATGTATCAGAAATGAGTTGATTAATAGAGGAAGTCCTCCATTATGTAATGGAACCCTTAGAAACGAATTACACAGACTTAACTGGGTGATACAGCGCAGAATCCCCTGACCATTGATAAATGATGAATAAAAAGAAAGACGTTTAAACTGGTGTAGATTCACTGATTGGGATAATGCTTCCTTTTCTGATGAAAGTTTTATCTGGCTGTTTTCGAACTGTGTGAAAAGGTAAACAAAAGGTACCGTGAAACCTATCTACCAACGCCCAAAACATAGCCCGAAATTTCACACGTGGGAGTGACGCCGTTGTGTATTTTCACTGGAAGTTTTACGAAGGAACGATATGTTGACATTTAAATGGTTACCTCCTTCCAACAGCCCGGACACTGTATGAAGAGAATTGGATTTTCCAGCATGATAACGACCCAAAACACACCGCTGGCTACACAAAACAGTGGCTGTCGGACGAAAATGTTCAAGTTTTAGACTTGCCCAGCTACAGCCCAGATTATAACCCATTTGAGAATGTGTGGGGACTAATGAAGGACAGAATAAACAATAAAAGGACTTAGAAAATATTGAGGATATGAAGAAAGAAGTGGTCGAATATACCAACTTTGATCGATAGTGTTCCTTGGCACGTTCAGTCATGTATTGCAGGACAGGGGGTCTCACGAAGTACTGAAAAGACACTTAGACTGTAAGTCTGAATAGTATCTCATACTATATATAGCACTCCGTTTGTGTCGAGCTAAGAGTAAAGTGCTCGTTATGGTCCCCGGGACTTGGGAGTAAACAGTAAACCGTGGCACTGGCCGAGGTTAGAGTGAATATAGTTTTACGTCGACACGGCACTGTTCCTGCAATTCTGAGATGGTATTCCTACAAGAATTTGGGTCTTGGTTGAAAACAACAACTATTTTTCACCTTTCAATGGTGTTGGTGTCGCAGGTAATACGACGATCCTGTACAAGCTGAAGCTGGAAGAGGACGTTTCAACCATCCCCACCATCGGCTTCAACGTGGAGACCATCAGCCCGGCCAAAGGTGTGACGTTCACTGTGTGGGACGAGGGGGGTCAGCAGAAGATCCGACAGCTGTGGAGACACTACTACCTCAACACACAAGGTAGGTCAACATATACCCAACACTACTACCCCAACACACAAGGTAGGTCAACATATACCCAACACTACTACCCCAACACACAAGGTAGGTCAACATATACCCAACACTACTACCTCAACACACAAGGTAGGTCAACATATACCCAACACTACTACCCCAACACACAAGGTAGGTCAACATATACCCAACACTACTACCTCAACACACAAGGTAGGTCAACATATACCCAACACTACTATCTCAACACACAAGGTAGGTCAACATATACCCAACACTACTACCCCAACACACAAGGTAGGTCAACATATTCACAACACTACTACCTCAACACACAAGGTAGGTCAACATATTCACAGCACTACTACCTCAACACTCAAGGTAGGTCAACATATATACCCAACACTACTATCTCAACACACAAGGTAGGTCAGCATATACCCAACACTACTACCTCAACACACAAGGTAGGTCAGCATATACCCAACACTACTACCTCAACACTCAAGGTAGGTCAGCATATTCACAGCACTACTACCTCAACACTCAAGGTAGGTCAGCATATACCCAACACTACAACCTCAACACACAAGGTAGGTCAGCATATACCCAACACTACTACCTCAACACACAAGGTAGGTCAGCATATACCCAACACTACTACCTCAACACACAAGGTAGGTCAGCATATACCCAACACTACTACCTCAACACACAAGGTAGGTCAACATATATACCCAACACAGACTTCATGGTGTGTGTTTGTGTTAAACGTTAAGTGAGCAGTCTGTGAAGTTATAATGGTTAGCTGTGAGGATGTACACAGTGAGAACATCGCCAAACATGTTGAAGTCAATTCTTCGATACTCCCCAGGTCTGATCTACGTGGTGGACAGCGCAGATCGTCTGCGCATGAAGGAAGCCAGGTCGGAGCTCCATGGGATCTTCAGTTCGCCGGAGATGGCGGGGGTGCCGGTAGTGGTGATAGCTAACAAGCAGGATTTGCCAGGTGAGTGCGTCAGACTAGTCCATAATGACCGGCAAGGTAGAATCAGACCTCCAGCAGGCAAACTAGTGGTTGATACTATGCACAGTGACACTGTTATGGAGAAATTACACCAGGGCGGTGGGAGAACTCACCAGTGGTTTTACCGACAGGTAGATACATAACATGTTGGTTTTTGTACTGGCATAAGTCACATTCCTGCCATATGCTAGCATACCGTACAATGATGGACACGAGGTGTTTGGGGAAATCAAACCAGTTTTATCTGAGAAGAGCTAACACATTCACCACTGGGCCACCCTGCCGCCACTCTTCACATTAAATAAAAGATGAGTTCTATGGAGTCATGGGACACCGTTTATCACGCCGTAGAAGGAAATTATTATGAATGAAGAAATTTGTAAAATATATTTGTGTTTTGGACATATGTGCCCTAAAGCCCCCCGAGGTTGCTGAGGAACTTGACATGAGCGACCTCAAAAACCGGAAATGGCACATACACGGCGCATGCGCACCAAATGGAGAAGGGCTGTTCGAGTCGGTGCGGGAAATGTCACGTCTTGTGAAATACGTACAAAGAAAGGTCGATGATGAGTATGGTCGCTCCACAATATCAAATATATCAAACCAGTCAAAACTGCCCAGGGCACAATTATGACGTACATAGGGAACAGCTGTGCCCTCGGAAATACGGCTTCATTTACGTCTTGATCTGACACAGAAGATGACGTCCACAGCTCTACCGGGGCCACTCCGGATGTCCACCATCCTGTATGTAACTTCTCATGACAGAGATACTTGATATTGTTTGTTCCGGGTACTCTTAAGGCAGGCTAAAATATTGAATCCAACTACATGTGAGTGAGTGAGGCAGTCAGTTAGTCATTATTGTTTTGTTGTTTGTTTGTAAATGTTATGTAAATATTGTTTGTATTTTTTCTTCATAATAAACACGTTTTTCAAACACAGTTACCCTTGGTTTTCCTGACACACAAATATGTTATGGGGTCCGTATGTGAGTGAGTGAGTACGGACTGTTAATCAGCTTAAGGAAACTTTAAAATTTTGCACACTTCCTGAATAATCACCTACTCCAAGCAGACGGTGTGTTGAAGTTGACCACCTGGCAAAAAGAACTGGCAGCATATAGAATGGGAACTGAAACATTTGTTCAGCGAAAGGTTGTGGCGTCATAGCCAGGGAACTGTAGTGGTGGGAAATCCTTTCTGGCAATGTTGTGCGTTATAACCAGTTTGGTGTTATAACCAGGGTAGACTGTATACATGAAACACAATATAACCATCCAGTCTGCATCTAAGTACCCTTGGGAACATGGGCCACATTATGCTGTTGAGGGTAAAATCTCTTCAACACTCTGTACCCAGTTATACAGTAAACTGTTTAATTCAGTTGCGTTTTACTGTCTTGTTCAATTAAGTAATACTTGGACTATTTACGAAGCGATTAGAGATTGCTGTTTCCATTTTCAACGGACATAGATACCGGATACCGTCCTTGAGTACATCCCGGTACATCACAGTGTGTCGCTTCAGTATGGAAGGAACAAATATGGTGCTGACCAATCAAAGATAATCAAGATGAATTCGATCCTACGATCGTCGGATCATTGTCAGCTAAGGGGCGCAACTGTATGTATGTCGTAATTTTGTGTTAAAGGATGGGAGGAGTTACGATCATCCTTTTCGCTAAGACTGATTTCTTTGTATGGGCCCAGTGTATTAGGTTGCCTTCATGAAGTCTAGGTTTCGAGGGTTACGTTATTAGACTGACTGAGTTTGGTTTTACGCCGCTTTTAGCAATATTCCAGCAATATCACGGTGGGGGACACCAGAAATGAGCTTCACACATTGTACCCATGTGGGGATTCGAACCCGGGTCTTCGGCGCGACGAGCCAACGTTTTAACCACTAGACTACTCCACCGCCCCTACGTTATTAGAGTACACCAGTACTGTTTGATTGTGCAACTTGGAACAATATTCCAGTGGGAGAAAGGCTTGACGTGATATTGACACGTCCTCATGACATCAATAGGGAGGCTATAAGTCATTCAATGTTAACTTACAATGGAGTCTGTCCTGAGTCTATCCTGAGTAATATTGGCGTCAATCCTGAGTCTATCCTGAGTAATATTAAACATCGACAAGTAGGAAACATATTTATTCGTAAAAAATGTACAAGATACAATATATTTTATATCCAGCATATTAGTGATTTTGTAAAAATGTATTAAACATGAGTAAGAGGAAAATAGATATAAAACAACACAGAACTAACCCACGGGGATTATCTACAGCGTCTTCTATTCTCCCTGCCAAAAGTGACAACACTGAAACCTGATAATGCTCTGAGAGGTGAGACAGGCACCTTGGAACATGGAAAAGTCACAGACCTGAGAGAATCACTGGCCGTTTACTACAACATCTGGTTATCCCTGCAGGCAAAGGGTTACCTGGGCAACACAGGCGCTAACAGCAAGAGTTAACTGGGCAACATGCGTGTTGCACCTCAACTGATAGCAAGGGTTGACTGATCAACATACATGTTACACCCTATCACCTGATGAAGAAGCAAGAATTAGCTTTGAAACGTTGTGATAGAGAATAAAAAAAGAATCTGTTATCCATAAAAAGTGTCATGCATCCATGTTCCTCCAGTTTCTAAATGCCCTTTAAAGACTGCAAGTTACGCCCCAGCTGATAGCAAGGATTAACTGATCTATTCATGAAGGCTCTGTTACTGAGACATGCTCCAAGTTAGTGTCACTTCACTGACTATTTCCACAGACAGCAACCCAGCCAGGTGTGCGTTGCCGAGGCAGACAGAGTTGTCTCCCTTGTGAAATATATACGCGACTTTGATAGGCACGTCTGTTAAAAAAAGATAACAATTTCAAATGTTTCCAAATGAATTTGTTCATGGGTTATTACAAAGAGAATCTCCACGGATAAATAAACATCCCATTACACAACTATTATTGCTGAAGATGACCTGTATTCCTACAGTGAAGACATCTTTGCATTAAATCAACATGATCACAAATCTGTGCACTGTACAACATGAAGTAATTGATTAGTGAATTGAGGAGCTACTGATTTCTGTGAGCGTGTGCAAAAGATCAAAACATAGTAAAGTACATTTTTTTAAATAAAATTTTCAATAAAATATTTAATTCAAAACATTCTTTCACAATGACCTATGTTCATGTTCTGTAATAATGAAGTTATTTTTGTTAAGTCTTCAAATTCATTTTGTTTATTGCTCCAGCTAAGTGCAAACACACACAAAAATCTCTGCAGCGATTTGAGGCACTGTAAAAAACATGTGCCCCCATTTGCTGGCTCGGATTCATTTGCTGGTTCAAATACAAACACACGAAAAGCCCCAAGAGAGGGTTTCTCTCCAACAACAGATCAACACGGTTTCAAAACATACATTTCAATAAAATAACACTAATATTTATCCAGTAAAGCTAATTACGCTCAGTAAAATATGTTCCATGGAAACAGTAATCAAAATAGATGCCAAAATATCTATCAACAAATGATTAAAGCATAAATGTTAGAAGAATTACCAAGTGAGAATGTCAGTCAAGTTTAATAACAAATTGGTTAAACCCATTTTCAACAATGTCCCTGAAAGTACCAAAGCCATTCAAATGCTTTGATGGAACTCAGGAAATTCTCACACAACATAAGCTGTGGGGTAGCCTAGTGATTAAAGCGTTCGCTCATCACGCCAAAGACCCGAGTTTGATTCCCTTGGGTAAAATGTGTGAAGCCAATTTCTGTTGTACTCCGCAATGATATTGCTGGAATATTGCTAAAAGCGGTGTAAAACTAAACTAAAACATTCACTCTTACACAGCCCAGTACGCCCTAAATGCTGATGAAACAAGGATAGATTGTCACGGTGTCCCTGACATGGCCCTCATACAACCAAGGACATTCTCAAATATCACAGAAATAGGCTTTTGAGAGGAATCAAACCCAGATCTTCTATGTGACAAGCGAACACTTAAATCACTGTGTTACTCACAATCCCTTGAAAAGGCAAACATAAGAAAGTACAGGTACAGAGGGAGTAGAAAAGGAATTGAGTTTCAATCCTCTACCAATCTCATCATGGTCTGGACATGATTGATATGTAGGTCTGTACACTCAAGTCACTATGGATTCAGCAGACGTCACGATGGCTTCTCGTGCAACTTCTTGTTGAGCTCACACAGCTGTTTTAGAAAGCCGTCATTGGGGAAGATCTCTCGCTTGGCTCGAACTAATTTCACAGCCTCTTTCAGAGGCATATCTCGCTTCAACATGAGAAATGCCAATACTGTGGACCCTGATCTGCTGATGCCCTGCATACAATGGATGTAGATCTTCCCTGGACAACAGAACAAAGACAAGTTGCAGAACACACAGTCAGTGAGTTTGGTTCATTGCTCTAAACAGAATTTCAAGGATTTATCCAGATCTGCTCAGTGACTGACACTTATTGCATGTCTCCAGCAAATGACAGTAAAAATTCCAGATAAACAATTTCCCAATGCCTCAGAATTTATCACATAAGGTCATGAATGTCTGTTTTATCCCAGTCACAATTAGTATCCAATTTACCTGGCATGGGTCCTTAGTTTGGGATCCTGGATAATGTCCTAGTTATGTCCTGACAAGTCAACACATTTGGAGGACTGCCACAAGTGATGCAGATCTTAGATGCCTACCACTTTAGGGAAACCCATGAGTACGGTGCAAACAAATCTGGAGTCACAGGCTAATCTGGATTCGAACTCATGATCTTTGGGACCAGGCATGTCTAAAGGAGCTAACTCCTCCATGCCTCTTACAACCAGCTTTACTTGGGGCATACCCCCACCCATACACCCACAGTCTTTAATGATCAGAAAACAAGATGTTCAGTTTTGAAGTACTCAATCTTGACCTCCCAAAAGGCCAATATTCTCCCCTACGGGACCATTCATAATTCATGGCTAGGGAGGAGGAGGATGATTTTCATGGAGAAGCATGTACAATGTACCCCCCAACCCCACCCAACCCCTCTAAATTTATTTACAAAGTAAGTGTCCCCCACCTCCACCCCTAGCATGTCATGTACAAAGTGAGTTACCCTCCCCCCTTCCCATAATTGTTAAGCATAATGTTTTAACTTACTGATGTACAAACTCCCCAGTACATGTGTTGAAAATTGATAACATCCCCTTCACAATCATCACCAACCCCTCTAGACACAGGTTATGAACGGTCCCTAAGTCTGTAGCAATTTTCAGTAATAACTACTCCATTGCATTTAAATCCTATCACCATGTAACCATAGTTCCAAATATTCTTTTTGATTTTTTTTTGCATTCCTGTGATAACAAGATCATTACAGATGAGCATCAAGTTTACATCACTTCATTTAATAGACCCGTGAAGATCCGGGGTAGAATAGGTCTTCGTCAACCCATGTGCTTGCCATAAAAGGCGACTATGCTTGTCGTGAGAGGCGACTAACGGGATCGGGTGGTCAGTTTCGCTGACTTTGTAGACACATGTCATCGGTTCCCAATTGCGCAGATTGATGCTCATGCTGTTGATCACTGGACTGTCTGGTCCAGACTCGATTATTTACAGATGCCGCCATATAGCTTGGATATTGCTGAGTGCGGCGTAAAACTAAACTCACTCACTCACTTCATTTAATAATATGAAATCCCAGATGAATACCTAAGACAGTACAACCCAATCTATGTTCATATTCCTTGAAAACTCACCATTGTCTGCAAGAGCTTTGTCAATGAAATCGGCTGCCTTCTCAAAGTGCTGACTCATGTTGTATGTAAAAATGTCCTTCCCAGGGAAACCAAAAAACTTGATTCCAACATCACTAAAATATTCAGCACTAGTGTCAATCATATTGAACTTGGCTCCCATACAGGTGTTGACCACGTGTGTGATGCCCATCTCCTTCAAGTCCTCCTTGCTCCGGGCCGCCGAGCTACAACACAGCAGAGATAAAAACAAGATAAACATTATTTTTTTGTGTTTGTGACCCTTTTGCGCAATACATTCTAAATCATAAAGTTTATGCATGTTTTGGTTTTATGAATGAGTGAGTGAGTTTTACACCACTTTAATCAGTGTCCAGCAATATCACTGCGGGTGGCACCTGAAAGGGGCTTCACACATAGTGCCCACGTGGGGAATCGAACCCGGGTCTTCAGTGTGATGAACAAACACTTTAACAAGCCTACCCCACTGCCCCTTTAATTTTATGAAATTACAATCAAATAGAATATATTGGAAAAATAATGTTGGAGTCACAGCTTGTTGACAAGCTGTTGGCAGCCACACTGGATTTCAGCTCAACATGTCTTGACCAGGCTATAT